AAATAATCTGTGTCTCTTTTTTAATTTAAGTAATTCTGAACAAATATTGTTATGAATTCGAAATGAATACAAATGCGATCAAAGTGCGAGTAAAGTGTTCAAGTGCGATTATAGTGCACTGTGAGTGTAGTGTAGTGTGTGTAAGAAAGAACTGCGTGGTGAATTAAGAACTGCCAAGCGTGAACTGACGTATAATTTCGAACCCCATCCCGAATGGTGACAGAAGTGACGTGCCAGTCACTCCACGCGACGGAAGCGAAGGCGTACGCTTTCGACGACAGGCATAATGGACCATTCGCGGAAGTAGGGGCCTGAGGAAGATACTAGCTACCAAGGGCTTCTAACCACAGTGGTGCTACCACTACTACCAGGGCGCCTAGGTTCAACTGTGAGATGGTCACAGTCGAGCGAGGGCAGATAAAGAAACGCGGGTAGAGGTGATGGCGAACGGGGCCGGACGCACTTTGACGTGGCGGAGTCGTGGCGCCCCGCCATAGCGATCGATCGACTTCGGAAAAGACCCAATTCAAATTACCTAGTTTCGCGCGACAGTTGTTCAACTAGCATAAAGGGAAATCAGCAAAATCACCAGATTACGTGAAGGACAGTGAGGTCTAACTCAAGGTCACATTCCCAAAACATCCGGAACTTTCGGAAATACAGGCAGACCGGCGCTGCTCTAAAAGCTATCGAAGACAACAAAATCGAAGTCCAAATTCCTTTCTGTCCCGCATAATGAGAGACAGACCTTATTATAATAGCCCGAGATCCGACCGAAAAATTCTGCACCCATCTGTTTTTTTTTATGAAACCTAATTTAAAGGAATGATTAGTGAATATGCATTGCATTAATCATGGGTTGAACCTTTGAATCATCAAACCTTTAATTTAATTTAGTGACATCCATTTTTTTATGAAATTTGCATCCATGTTGCTTTGACAATATTTATGTCATCTGCAAGGAAATAATGTGAAGAATACGTAAATATAGTGGAAAGCGTTGATCCACCCCTATATTTACGTAGGCAATACCTTAGCGATCGATTTATTCTTAAAATTCTTCCATTTTCGTCTCTCACCCATTAATGCGGAAATTAAAAACACTATCACAGCTGTCTCTATCACAATCTAACTACTCAAACAACATCCCCAGCATCCTACATAGCTATAACAAATTTAATCCGACATCGATCCCCATCGAACAATTTCCTTGTCCGCCTATTTTTATGAACAGTTTGACTCTTTGACTTTCTCTCCGCCCGTTACTCTTATTCCCCAATTGCCGTTCAGACATTCTTTAATAACCTCTCATCACACTGGCAAAATTGGACTCCATTATACACAGAATGCATTGGAGCTGCAGTATGGTTTCCAGCACACAAAATAATTTTGAGTTTAAAATTGCCTCCACTAGCCTCAGTATTTACCGGTGAAGCTATTGCTATCCTGGGAGCTGTCCTATTTAATTTACAGTCTCACGGTCTGAACTACACACAACACTTATTTTTACTGACTCCCAAAGCTGTTTACAAGCAATAAATTCAAACCAATTTCGGTCTAAATCTAAATTCCCTATTGTATTAAAAATTAGGGAAGCCTTGTTGAGAGGCCACCTAAAAGGAACAAACGTAGCCCTAGCCTGGATCCCTGGACATAATGGTATTCCTGGCAACGAAACTGCGGATACTTGTGCTAAACACGCCATTTCTTCTGGTCTCCCGAAGTACTCCAGGGTCTTCTACCAGGACTTATATTCCGTAACGCGTCCGTAATTTAAATCATGGGAAACTCACTGGCTACAAATCGTGTTGGTAAATACTAGTTCGAAATACAGGAAAATATTCCATCCAAACCATGGTTTTTCAAGGTGAAAAATCTTAATAAAAAAGTGGTATCTACAATTTGTAGATTAAGGATAGGTCATGCCACTACACCTGTTCACTTGGCTAGGTTAAAAATACGTGACAGCCCCACATGTGATTGTGGAACCAAGGATGGTACAATGGATCATCTTTTCTTTAACTGCCCCAAATTAAACATCTCTCTCTATGACATTTTACCTCCCACTATTCCTCGTCCTATAAGCATGAAAGTCCTACTATGTTTATGTGATTCCACAACCCTCAAGCTCTTGTCTAAATTTATTTCCCATAAAAAACTAAGATTATAACAAAGCTCCTTGCTTTACTTGTTTTATGTATGTGTTGTCCTGATTGTGACGTTTTTCTTTACAGGTAAAAGTGCTTATAAAATAATTTTCAAAATTCTGATTTTTAACTGTCATTCCCTCACGTGTAATGGCTGATCACTTGACATTGGCGGCGCTGTGTTAAGTCACAACGCAAGCCATCATAAAAGAAGAAGAAGAATTCAAAAACAAGGGTTGCCACCTCTCAATTGAAAAACCTTAGGGTTGCGACGTATAAACAGTACCCTTAGTACGAGTTTTACAATTACGAAAACTATGATAGTTTTCGCGTCAGAGGTGCGGTGGCAAGCAGGCGGGTGCGGGCGCGCGGCATCGCGAGTAGCCGCGGCCGCCGGCGCCACACGTATCTATCAGGCACGCATAATTTAGCAATCCTAATTCACAGTCAGGTCATAAGTATTGTCACACAGTAAAAACTTTTCTTTTAGAATGCTGGCCACAAAAAAGTTTATTGAATTCGAATTGTTCATGAAAATAAAAATGTAGACTTTTTAGAATTTTACTCATTTTTAAATATGGAGTGGACGGTTAAAGAAGACCGTGTTGCAGTTATTGCGTTGCATATGTGTGCGGTCACCAATTAAATTTTTTGACATACTGAAAAAAAATAATATAACCAAAAGATTCGTTTATCGTACCATCAAACGATACAATGAAGACTCTAGTGTAGATGACAGGTCAAGAAGTGGTCGCCCTCGGTCTGTTAGGAATCCAGCAGTGATAAAAGCTGTGAAGGCGCGAATTCAAAGATATCCCAAACGTAAGCAGAAACTGTTGGCCCTTCAGATGGGGTTAAGCAGAACCACGGTGAAAAGGGTGTTAAATGAAGACTTAGAGCTTCGGGCATATCGAAGAAAAACAGGACATCATTTGAATGCTCGTCTAATGGACCTGAGACTGAAGAGATGCCGCACTTTGTTGAAGCGGTACGCGGGAAAAAAATATAAGGAAATTCTTTTTTCGGATGACAAAAAAATTACCGTAGAAGAGAGCTACAACAAACAAAATGATAAGGTGTACGCACACAGTAGTGAAGAAGCGAGCAACCGTATTCCGCGTGTCCAACGAGGTCATTATCCACCCTCGCTCATGGTATGGTTGGGAGTTTCTTATTGGGGCTTAACAGAGGTACATTTTTGTGAGAAAGGTGTAAAAACGAATGCAGTTGTGTATCAAAATACACTCCTGACGAACCTTGTGGAATCTGTTTCTCATACCATGTTCAATAACAGGCATTGGGTATTCCAAGAAGATTCGGCGCCAGCGCATAGAGCGAAGAGCACACAAGACTGGCTGTCGGCGCGTGAAATCGACTTCATCCGGCACGAAGACTGGCCGCCCTCCTCCAGTCCAGATTTGAGTCCGTTAGATTACAAGATATGGCAACACTTGGAGGAAAAAGCGTGCTCAAAGCCTCATCCCAATTTGGAGTCACTCAAGACATCCTTGATTAAGGCAGCCGCCGATATTGACATGGACCTCGTTCGTGCTGCGATAGACGACTGGCCGCGCAGATTGAAGACCTGTATTCAAAATCACGGAGGTCATTTTGAATAAACTTTATTGTCATAAGAATCTATGTTTTGTTAAGTTCATTTTGGTATATAAATGGTTACATAATGAATAAACTTGTTTCAATTATTTTAAATTAAACATGTGACAGAATTCATGACCTGACTAGGTATATCCGGGTTACAGATAATGCCTTGCGACACCCTAACTATGTAATAAGCGAGTGCAAATCCCCTCCTTGTCTCCAACTTGTTGTAGCCGACCATGCCGAATACGAACAAGGTTGGGTACATCAACGGATAGAAAGGGTACATTCCGTATAACTTTAGGTATAAGTACCTCGAGTATTTATTTTGTATGAGCTCCATCATTTGCCTATACATTATTTCGTGTGGAGCACATACTATCGCGTTGAATTCGAGTTGACTTCGTATATGCGCATTATATAGGGCTGCAATTGCTTTCATATTCGTAAAACCTACTGACTGATGCAAAACAAAACCCAAACTTCTGTATACTTCTTTTACAGATATTTGTAATGTTATCTTTAAAATTTAATTTGTGATTTATTTGCGCTCCCAATTTTCTGTCTGTCTCATTCCTATGTAATTTAGAATGGTCAATTTTGTAGTGAAATTGAAGCGGATTGTTAATATTAAACTGCAGTTTATTTTTTCGACTCCACTCCAATTTTCAATGTCTCCTCATAACAGTTCACAATCCCCACAGTCCTTTCCACTTCAGGCAGGTCATTTGTCATAACGATAAATTCTAATGGGCCTAGGTTACTTACTTTCCTGACTCACCCTAGTTCTGGTAAATTAGGACTCAGATTTATACCCAGCATACTCCACATACTGTATTCGATCTCTTATGTAACTTGCAAAGAAATTATCATTAGTGCAACCGACCCCAGCCATCTTCGCCAATAATAATCGTTATGGACAAAATCGAACGCTTTTTTGTAGTCGAAGTAGGCGACGTCAACTTGCGTTCATGCGTCCGTCGTCGTCATACACGAGGTACAATATAGGTCATCGCGTTCATTAAGTTGCTGGTAGTGTTGCGTGCAATCTCTGATGACAAAAAAGATGGGATGCCGTCAGGTCCTGCAGAACGCTTCGACTTTAACCAAACTGCCTCTCTTACCTCGTGAAGCGTGAGCTGTGGGACGTGAACACGAGAGGTGGCAACCATTGTTTTTTGAATTTTTCACATCATTTCGTTTCAGATGATGTTAATTTTGTCAAAAAATCATAAGGATGCATTAAAGGTTTTGTAAATGGGACGTTCTTCTTTTTTATGGCCAATCTGACAGGCAAATTTTTATATTTGTTAAAAAAGTAAACATGTGATTTCTTTAGTAAAATGTATTTTAAATTATTGCCTCGTTGTTGTAGATTTCAAACATATATAATGCATCGAAGTATTACTTGTAATTTTTGTTTAACTTCTAATTTTGTAGGAATGGTAACAAAACATCAACACCTCAGTCACGAAAATGTTTATTTTTTTTATTTTTCATGCAAAATCAGATCTTTAGTTTCTTATTTCTTTCTTATCAAGAATACAAACATTTCTTTTAAGCTAGCTCCATGGGACGGAATTTTTAATAAAAACATTAAAAAAATGATATCCAATACCACTCTGTCACAGTTTTGCTTTTTAAGACAAAAAACTTTTTAATATTATGAAAGTCTTTCAATAAAGTAACTTGAAAATCTGGTGAACAACTTCATTGTTTAGCATGTAATACTAGAAAACGCTATTTTTGTAAATATTACCAATAAACTGGAGCATACACTACTTTGAACTTAAATTATAAGGGGGACAAAATTGTGACAGAGTGGTAAATAATCATTACCCGCCGAGCAATGTTAACCTTAAAACAGTTTTAAACTTTAGAAAACAATAAATAGTATATTTTCTGTTTTCTTTTTCGTCGTGTTCATTTTCCTTTCTACTATGGGTTGTATTGTGTACTTTATCTTCATTTTTTTCTGTCGCTGAAGTCTTTTCTTGTATTTCTGTACTTTTCTTAGTAATCCTTGTATTTGGTCTTGAAGTTGAATATTTTTTCTATAAAGTTGTGATCTATCCCGTCTAACTTGTTTTCTTCCTCTTGCACTGGCAGTAGACGAGGCTGGAGTAAGTGAACGAGATCTCGGACTTAATGGTCTGGGACTTGAAAGAGGTGGTGTAGAAGCCGGAGTGTTCATCAAAACGTTCTGCAAAGCTTTCTGTCGTTCTCTTCTCTTCCTATTTCTAATCTGCCATTGTCTCTTTATTTTTTTTGTGTTGTTTTGGTGTCATATCTTTAACTAATTTTTTACAAGCATGATATCATTCTTAATCTTTACGTTTCACTTCTGCAACGATTTCAGGGTTAAGTTTCCTTTTTTCACGACACCGTCGCTGTCTTCAGCCGCCGATAATGGCATTTTTTAATTTATCTGATGGTAACACCTTAAATTAACAAAATAATCGACCATATAATAAACAACATAAGAAAACTAAAATGACGTCCGGCTTGGTTTTTGAATGCCACTGCAAACTCATGGAGGTAGGCAGAGAAAACGAGGTCATACTCCAATGGATAAAAGGACATAGTGGGTCAAGGGGCAATGATGCAGCAGATTGTCTGGCCAGGAGAGGGTCGGACACTGTGGTATATGGCCCAGAACCAATCGTACCGATCCCATACCGGCTGCTGCGAAGTTGGATTAGGGAACGGTACCTGCGACTACACAACGAATACTGGGCTGGACTTGCAGACTGCTGGCACGCCAGGGAGGCCATACCTAAGGTAGACCCACGGCTAGCAAGTAAGTTTTGCAAGTTACCAAGACATGCTCTGAAACAAATAGTGAGTATTCTCACGGGACACGGACACTTTAATAAACATCTGTTTAAAATAGGTGTCTCGGACAGTCCTCTGTGCAGAGCCTGCATGGAGGAAGAGGAGACGAGCACTCACGTCCTGCTGCAGTGCAGAGGCGTGACCAGACATCGAATGACACACCTGGGCAGCCCGCAGACGCTACTCGAGGCCTGCGGCGACATCAGGAGACTGCTGAGCTTCTTGGGGGAGCTGGGATGGCACGACTAAGGCCATCCTCACACGCAAAATAGGCACCTGGTGTCGAGTTGCGGAAAACACCCACCGTGAAGAAGAAGAAGAAGAAAACTAAAAATCATCTATTATGAAAATGAACTAAGGCTCTAAGCTCCATACAAAAACGACTACTCCGTCACAAGCTTACCACTCCGTCACATTTTTGTGACAGAGGTGCCTCGTGACAGAGGTGTAAAATAGCAGTGTTCGAGATTCTCAGCATTGGTCTAATTATAATTTCATTTCAAATTCATAAAAGTTTGCATATATGAAATAGATATCAGGAATCAATAAAAAAATATTAACACACAGGAATTAAAATAATATTTAGAAGTAGTAACTTACGTGACAGAGTGGTCGCTAAATAAACACACGCACCTCCTTTTACTGTTTGCGAGCGACTGACTGGTATCACCGGGGGGGACACATAGCGTGGGAGCGGAGTGGAGGGGGACTATGCTCTTGTCTAGTGACCAAGGTCAAAATTGCTAACGCACATTATTTTGTACCATAAAACGAGTGACAGAAGACAGCAATAAGAATGATATGCGTCGGGACAGCAAATCAAATATTTTTTTATTTAATAATAAAAACATTAAATATTATTTCTTCTTATTAATTAAATAAGAAAGGTTAAGTAGTTCAGTAAATGTTTTTGGATAGAAACTTTCAATGTGATTTTTTTGTACGAGAACAGTTTGTTTACATTAGTAGTCACAAAGGAACACACTTTATTTGTATGTGCAACACCCCCGTAACGTTTTTCGTATACTATGTCACAAAATTTTTGTAAAAAATCTAGTTTTGAGGATAGTATAACTGTTGCATTGTCAAGTGTATTTTTGTAAAAGAAAAACAACATTTTTGTATTTTGGAGCAATAACATTTGTTTTTTTGCGGAGAAGACAAGTCATTGGCCTTAAAAAAAAAGAACGTCCCAAATATATTTTTTAGACAACCCGTCACTAATGCATTGTATACTCACTAATCAATCATTCAAATAAAGTTTCATTTAAAAAAACAGATGGCTGCATAATTGAGGGGCGTGTTCTCGGACTTAGGTCTACTAATTTTGTTCAATCATTCTTTGAACGAAAATAAGGAATAATATCATTATCACAACCCTAAGGTTGCGGCTAATTAAGTAGTGGCAACCCTTGTTTTTTGAATTCTCCACATCATTTCCTTTCAGATGACACAAATTTTATCAAAAAAACATATGGATGCAATTTTCATAAAAAAATGATCTATAATTTTTATTATTTTTAAAGCATGTAACTGCTTGATGTTTAAATCTAATTGTGGGTTTACCTATAATGCGAAGAGATGGTGCTGCCTTGCAGCTTAAGAATAGCTAGAAAGAATTTCGACGCGGTCCGTGAGGGCCGCGGTAGCATAATTGGTCAGTGCATTCGCCCGGATTGCGAAGGGTGCGGGTTCGAGTCCCGTCTGCTGCCTGGTCCGCGTGGAATTTTTTCTAGTTATATTTTCTTTAGATTTAAAAAATGATCTCACTAAATAAAATTAAATGTATTTACGGCTACTTTGTTTTAGGAAACCCATGATTAATGCAATGTATACTCACTAATCATTCCTTTAAATTAGGTTTCATCAAAATAACAGATGGGTGGAGAATTTTGCGCCCAGGTCTCGGGCTATAAGCTATTATTCTGGGATAAGGTCGCACTTTTGAGTTTTTATGGAGTAAAAAAATAAATAACCTCCTAAAATGTGGGTGTTTTACTCATAGAGATGTTTTGCTTAGTTTCTCTCTTTACCACAGGATGGAACTGGCATTCACACTGTAAATCCATGGATTGCTAAGAAGTTCTTCTCTAAATGTGTGCCTTGATAAATTACAAAGATAAACAGAATAGGGAAACTTTTTGGGCCAAAAAAAACGCTATCCCACTCAAAAAGTGGTGGATAAAAGCGAACAAAACAAAATCAGTCAATGTTACGTTTACTTTAAGAAGAGGATCTTGTCCTCCAGTCAAATTAAATAACATTGAAGTTCCACAGGCAGATCATGTAAAATATCTTGGATTGCACTTAGACAAAAGACTTACCTGGCATAAACATATTTTTACTAAGAGGAAGCAACTTGGTATCCAAACACGAAAACTCTACTGGCTTATTGGGTGAAAATCTCAACTTTCACTTGAAAACAAAATACTCCTGTACAAGGCAATATTAAAGCCCGTCTGGACGTATGGGATCCAATCATGGGGCACCGCATCTAACTCAAACATTGAAATTCTACAAAGGTTTCAAAATAAATCCCTGCGTATGATTACCAACGCACCCTGGTTTGTTCCCAATGAACTACTACATCATGACCTAAGAATACCTACTGTAAAGCAAGAAATTGTCCGCCATACTAAGTCCTATAAAAAACGCATCAAAATACATCCAAATGCTTTAGCTCGGCCATTAATGGAGAACCACATCAAAGCGCGACGATTAAAATGTAAAATACCACAAGATAATGTAGCCCAATCACAGTAAAACATACTGTCTAAACAATGAGGTTGTGACACAGGTCACATACTGAGCGCGCCAGCAATAGCACCAACAAACATACTGCTGAATGTCCCAAGAAGGAGAAAGATTGTAGTAAACCGAAAAAAAAAATGCTGTGCCAGGTATTCAACACATTGCCTAGGTATAGTATAAAATACAGATTGCCAGTAACATATGTATGCGTTCAATAAATTTTTATGTATCATTAATTTTTATTATTATTTTTGTAATATTGGAATTAAATGATGGTGGCAATACCAGGCAGGCATACAGCGACCTGCGTTTCCAATATAACAACACCTTCAGGATACTGTTGAGACTATTGTAGAGTTGCAGTACGTCAAAAATGATTTTGGAGGTGCATACGGATGACTTCTATGCTATTATAAGAGGTCCGCTTCCATGCTCACTAGGCTCCGTACCAATACCAACAGCCTTCTGAGACCGGTGCCCGTTTGTCCTTCGCAATGCTCCATCTCTTTTATTTGGTCTGAGCTATAAGTGCCGGAATTTTTGATCTTGCCCTCTTCCTTGATAACAATCTCTGAATAATAATGCCCTACGTCATTACTTATTTTGAGATAACCACGAGACAACAATGGCTTATAACGTTGACAACACACAGTGTTGTTTTTAAGAACATTGAAGAGTACTTACGAATGAAAAGTAATTCCATGGAGTTTGTTTTTTGTTCTTGAGCTGTTCGAGCACTTCTTAAAAGCACACCTAGGCATTTTTTATTCTGAGTGTCGCCTCTTGCCTTTCTTTTATAACACAGAATGTCCGCAATTTTGTTTTTAGGGGCAAATGTAACTGTTTTACTAACTAATCAAAATTCGAAATTAATTGTGTGCATGAACCTAATTTCAAGAGCGCATTTTTTTTTTAAGTTTTACGGCCTTGAATTTATCCATTTCGGCCATTCATTAATTCTTAAGTTTAACGAATACTTATATATATCGAAAGTATTCATCCATTATTCAAATATCATGGGATATGTATTAGTATTTTGTTTGATAGATGGCAATTGGCTGGGTATTCTGCAGTTATTCTACATCTTTATTAAGTCATCTATCAATAAACTTCTCTGTATATTAAAGGTAGGAAATTCTAAGATAAGGTGCTGTAAAGTCTCCACGCTTTTTGAATTGCGACAATCATTTTGATCTTTTTCTTTCTTCTCAGCTTTAAATGCTCTTAGAATCTTCCATGACCAAATTCGTAAGCGGTTCATAGTACTTGTAATATATTTTCTAGGTGGATTTTTAAATTTTTGGTGCCACGGCTTCTTAGAGCCAGTCCACACGGCACGTTGCGACGACGCAACGCAAATATTTTGACGCATAGCCGGCCACACAAGCGCTGCGTCACCGCAGCGTTACTACGACGCAGTAATAACGTTCCGACATCGCAACGGCGAACACAATTGCGGCAAGCAACAAAAAACGAGCGAGCCTTACAGTAGTCGCGTATGATATGTAACATTTGAAACCTCACCCTATATTAGTAAAAAGAGAAATGAAACCTACTACAGTTTGTCTATAAAGTCGTGACAATAAATGATGGCGCCCCTAGTATGCATGCATGTAGCAACCCTGTACAGCCGGACCAAAATTTTTTTTATAATACATTTTGGTGGTTTTATGAACACATACAGAAAGACAAAGTGTTTAGAGACACATGAGGCAAAATGATTTTCATACTAGCAGTTCATTCAAGTATAGGTAGGTAATTAAGACGATACAGTCGT